ACACAGACGGGAATAATGGAAGGGAGAACGTATCTGACTTGACTTTGGGCCCAGGAAATTCCCCAGTTACTCGAATGAATCCCACTTCAGGAGCTTTGAGCCCACTGACTCGGCCCAATGGAACTGCCAACAGCACCAAGAACCTGGTGGTGACAGCGGAAATGTGCTGCTACTGCTTTGATGTACTCTACTGTCATCTCTACGGGTTCCCTCAGCCACGGCTTCCTCGATTTACCAATGACCCCTAGTGAGTACATCTGCCTGGGGGAGGAGAGCTGGGAGCTGCCAGAGCTGCTGTGGCTTGGTTGGATGGAGGTGAAGGGTTTCCTCTGGGGAGTAGGAAAACTGGTGTGCCGGGGGAGGGGGGGCATTCTGCTGCTTGCTTTGTCTGCCAGAAACTAAAAATGATGGGCTGTAAGTGCATGAAGGAGTAAAGTATTGTGGGTTGTGATGGAAGTGAGCGAGCTTTGAAGAGTGGCCTTCAGGGGAGAACATGCTTAGCTCTACAGAAAGAGAGCTGGGCTAAGTCTGAGGAGGTGTGCTTCTTCAGCTCACAGTCTCCTGTGTCCCATGAGACACTGTGTCCTTCACTGAGAAGTGCAAACCCACTTCATGGTAACGGAAAAGTTTGCCCCCTTCTTTCTGAATAGATTCCTTTGCAAAAACTTAACTGAGTGATTCCCCCTGCAAAACTGTTCTAACAGAACAGTAAAATAACATTGTTAATTTGAAGAGGCTCCAGCTAATGGGAGACACTTGACTTGGTGAAGAGACAAGGCAATAGACTTCCTTCTGCAAAGCAAATGGAAAGGGAATAAAGTAAGAAGTTGAAACAAGTTTCCAGCTCATCCTGAAACAAATGCTGAGCTGGTGAAAATTGGGCAAGGACACTCACAAGGCTGTTCAGCTGTCCTAGTTAATGGGTTTAGCAGGGAGGGGAATCAAAAAATTGCCAGTTATAGAAGACACTTTGGGAAGATAGTGTTAGCTGGGCAATGTGAGGAGAAATCATAGAATCATTTAGAAAAACATGAGTCCAACCATGAACCCAGCACTGCCAAGAGAGTTAACTTTCAAGGACGATACCAAGGTTAGGGGGAAAGGAGATGTGTATGAGCAGAAGTGAGGAGAAGGATTTATGAAGCTGTTTGGCTTTGGTGAGATTCAGCTAATGTTTATCTGAAGGTTGAATGCGTAGGTGTGGAAATGTTAATGTTGTTAAAATGTTTGGTGAAAGAATTATATGGGAAAGATCAATGACAGATAGACTTTCTGACACTCCTCCAGGGGCCTCTTCCAGAACAATAGATAAATTAATGGTGTCAACAACTTTTTATTTTAAGTTAATGAATTTTAAATTGATGTAAAGGAACAGTGGCTTAAACAGGTCAAGGACTTTTTCTGTGTATTCAGTGTCTGCCCACCTTACTGCCTGTCAGGATGGATGTGGGTTGTGCTTTCCATGCAGTTATTTTCCAAGTAGGATTATGGATACATGTTCTGAATGCTGCCACAGACTAAGCTGTTTAATATTGTAAATACAAATGAATGAAGAAATGCTCTAGACCAGGCTCTCAGATAGTTCCAGGGACTCCCCAGGCTGAAACATTTCTGCTGTTGTTGCTACGTACCCTGGGCAGGCTCCTTTTAGAACATTTTATGTTAGTCTGCTTATTATTGTGTCACTTGAAATGCAGAGGGGTTTTTTTTGCTGTTGTTCTGTTAAGTCAGTAAGAGAGATGGTTTTACACAGCTGCATTCTTTTGGTGTCAGAGGAGATTTCTGGCTGGATTTTGTTGCTTTTTCTGTTGACTAGTTTCAAAAAGGACATCCTTTGGGGAATAGCAGCTGGTTGAATTTTATGCCCAGATTTGAAAAGTTCAAAGTTGCTCATTGGGTATTTCTGTGCTCATAATTACAAGACTTTTAGATCAGCACACCAGCAAAGCATAACCAGCCCTTACCTCCTCTTCCCCTGCAGGCAAATGCTTACCTAAATTTTCTTGTGTTTCAGCATTTATGCTTTTGCTTCCAGCAAATAGTTGGATGTTCCCCAGGGAAAAGCATGGGGTTTGCTCTGTTGTAGAGCAGCACATAAGGATGAGCTGTCCCACTTGGGACACTCATGGAATGAACTTCAAGGCAAATGTCATTAAATATAGGAGTAAGCAAAGTGAAAATACAGAAATAATTTGTATTTTGGCCCTTTGTGACATAATGAATGTCAGTGGAAGAGATCTTTGAGTAAAACAAAGGTTTATCCAGGAAGTCTCCCTGGACAGACTGTTGATGGAATAGAAAGAGGCACAGCCTGTTCTGGATAGCAGATTTTTAAATTGGTGCTGAACCCCAAAGTAAAGACAAAAGTAGGTGTGAAGGGCAGGATTTGGCATAAATAGTGTAATAACATAAAAGTTACAGGGTTCTGACTTGAGAACCACCATGAATTTCAGTTACCATCTTGAGGGGATATGCTCATGGACAGCAATCCTGATGGGAATTATGGTAAGATACCTATAGAGTAAGGTTCCCTTATTCCAGTGTTAGCACTGACATTCACAAATCAATGGAGAGACAGTGGAAATGCAAGACTTGCAGTTATGTCTGAATTAACTTGGTAAAGGAAGAAAATATCCACTTTAATATTCAGGTTATGGGAAGAAATTACAACTTGGAACCTGTGCAAATAGTTAATCGGTTGCTTCTTCTACTTTTGTACTTCAATCTGATTTGTTAATAGTAGGTATTACAAACTGGTGCTAAAACTACACCATGGAAGTTTCCAGTTGCCATGCAAGACAAATAATAAGGAACTTGCATCATAAAATCTGTTCTGTAACAGGTTTTTCCCGAGTACAAGCTAAACTCTGATTTGAACAGGCTGTATTTTTCCACTTTAAAACTCCCTTTGTAGTTGCAATTGGAGAAGCTAGCTTTTAGTTGCTGAAATTCCCCTCTCAGCCTAAAAACCCTCATCAAACACAGCTAAGTGGGGTGTTGTGTCTGGGGAAGAAACAGTTGCCATAATCTGCTGAAGGTATGGCTGCAAAGTACATGTAAGTGCTCTTGGGTGAAGGTGGACAAAAGGTTGTTGTGACTTTTCTTAGTGCATCTAGGAAATAACACTTTTCAAGGAGGGGCTCTGGAACAATGGACTTACTGTCAGCTGCACCTGCAATTTGCTGAGTGCATTTATTCTTCAGAGACAGAAACATCTTTTCTGCTGTGAAAATAGTGAAATTTTATATACATTTACAAAATTGTGTATTTCTTCTTTTTATGCCTCGGTTGTTCTGACCACAGTGAAAAATTGTTTAAAATGTGCTTTAAAGTATTTTAAGATATGACAGCCTTCTGAATGCAATTATCATGTCCCTTCTGATAATATCTCTTCTATTATAGACACAGAACGCTCAGTGGAAATATGGGTTGTGGTTTTGTTCCCTCTGGAAGGGGAAAGAGGCGAATTGAAAATGTGAACCTGCAATTTGAATTGAAGGGGAACTTGCTTAGATTTGTATTGTGAGAGTGATGGGTTTTATGTTCTCCTTTGCCTTTCCTGTTTGGGATGAGTGTCACATGGGCTCAGCAATGGTTTCAAAACTTTAATTAGATTAGGGAAATTTCCACTGAACTTGTGACAGTAGTGTTTCTCAGAGTTCTCCTGTGTAAGTTTAGTGTCTTTTTTTGGTTTTTGTAAGCTTTCTAATGTATTTTCTTACACTCTGTTTCTGTTTGCTCTTGCAACATATGGTAGCCATATAAAATGTAGAGCAATGATCTCCTGCAAGTTGCTTTGAAGTGTTGTCAGAAAACTAGAACAGCAAATCCCCTGTCTTGGTCAAGCAACAATAGGGTTGTTGTTGGGTGTGGAAGGATGTTTCTGCTTCCTCTGTGGGCAAAGTCCTTCACAATTATCACTTACAGGCTATTTGCTATTTTGGGTAGTACTTCTGCCATTGGTCACAGCTGGTGACTACATCCTGAATGATGGATTTATGCTGTGATAGTTTTTAATTCCATTGTTGCTCTGAGGAACATCACTCGACATTGATTTATCACTAGAGTTTAAATTGTGTTCTGACAACTTAGAAGTTCTGTTGCTGTATTTGAGAAATCATCCACACTCTGTGCTGGTTTTGTTATCTGAACAGAAGATCTTAGTATTTTTTGTAATGTTTGCTGCAAGGATACATTGCTTACAAGAGCTTCGAGTATGTGAGGAAAGTAAATGCCTGAGCAGTGTTGTTGAATCAGTCTTGATGGCTCAGAACTCCTGTCAGTGTTTAATCTCAGAAAATCACATTCTATCATGCTACTTAAAGTTCTGTAGAAATCCACAGACTGATGTCTTGTATTCAATACTCTGTAATCTGAACAACTTGTAGAATCATTCATCCTGGTTTTATAATTAGAACAACATCATCAGTTGCCTTACAAAATTTTCCAGATGTTTGGTTATTCTTGTAAAACTGCAGCCACCACTGTCCTTTCTTTAGTGTTTCTACAATTCTTTGCAATTTCACTCACTTCTGTAGAAGTTAGTTTTTTGCATTTAATGTTGACAGTCATCTTTACCTGTTTATCTCTTCACAGAGCTCTGTTGTTCTGAACTTGTTTTTCTTTGAGGCTAAGTCATGGGTTCTAGTTTAACAGCTTGAAATGAGCCTGCTGAGTTTGAGAATCTACTGTTATGCCTGTAAATTCCTGATAGTAGGCAGGAAAATGGAAATCCAGGTGATGTTTGAGTAGGAACAATAGTGATTTAGGTTTGTGTCCAACAGGAGAGAATATGTGTAAATATAAATCAAATGGAAAGTAAGCAAAAGATTGGCCATAAAGTGCTCATGCCTTTGGGATGGACCCAGAAGTCAGATCCTCATGGAAGTAACAGGGAAAGAAATAATTTGGCTTTCTCTTTATTCCTTTACAAAACAACAAAAACAAAAAACCAAAACAAAACCAAAAAAAAAAAAAAGAAAAAAAAGAAAAACTTTTATTGCAAATCTGATTTATAGATGAATTGCAGAATGCCTGAGGATCTTTCAGGTTCACTGGTACCATAAGTAACTAATCTTATTTGCTTCACCTATATTGATTTTTATATGGGCTGTCCTGTAAATTAGTGGATGCTGTGAAGTGCAGCCAATACTGACAGGTACTCAGTGGGGTCAAACAACCATATCCCTCATTAGATTCAGTGCAGAATCTGTCCAAGAAGGTGTCCATGGATGACTTGCAGAGCACTGCTGGAGAGGAGTGAGTATGCTGAAAAGGTGGAGGGAGATGATGGAGTGTGGCAGGGGGTGGGCACGAGGTTTGGGCATTGCTGGGCAGCAGGTGAGCAAACCTGCCTTTTGGGGTTCACTGGAGAGAGAGAAAGCAAGGGCATGTGCATGTGCTCTTTTACACCTTGGTACTCTCCTCTTAGCAGCCAAATATCCCTAGGGGCTGGAAGGTTTCTTTTGTTTTTTTCCTTTCCAGTCCACTCTTTGTGACGTGGAAGACGGGGCGAGACAAGCGGCTTCGTGGCTGCATCGGGACCTTCTCAGCCATGAACCTTCACTCAGGACTCAGGGAATACACATTAACCAGGTAACTGCTGGAAATGAAATAAATCTGAAACTAGTTTCGTTTGCTGAAAACCTGTAAGGATTCAAGGTTAGTATGTTGGATCAACATGGTTCAGTGTAATGTGCTTCACAATAAAATACACCTGAGAAGTGTGTGATATCCAGGGTGAGGGGGATAGCAGGATTTAGTGGAACATCTTTGCAACAGGTGACATTTTAAGGCTAATTGCAAATCTGTCTTGCATGCTAACAGTTTTAACATCTTCTGTAGCATATATTTTCTCTCTTACTGTGGTAGGTATTGGACAGCATCACTGGCATTACAGTTTACTGGATTAAGGAGGGATGCAAGTCATTTTCTCTGCAGTAGCAGAGAAACGTGTTTCACGGAGGCATAACCAAAAGAGGAATCATTGAGTACCTGACACTTCAGTTTGGTGCTTGTATTAGGCAATATTTCTTCTCTTCCCTTTAGTGCACTTAAGGACAGCCGATTTCCCCCCCTGACCCGCGAGGAGCTGCCCAAACTCTTCTGCTCTGTCTCCCTCCTCACTAACTTTGAGGATGCCAGTGACTACCTGGACTGGGAGGTGAGAACAGGTGCATTTGGAACTCTGCATCCCTCTCTCATTCCGTTCGGGTTCGGGTTAGTACACGGTGATGTGTCTCCTTCGTTACAGGGGTGTGTGGGGGTAGAAGAGACTGGAAGTAGAAGAAATGGGTCTGGAAAACTAGAAGGGAGGAAGAGAATGGGCTAACAGTATGCTTTTGGTTGGGAAGGGATCTGAATGGGAATAAAAGAAACATGAAAGTGGTTTATGGATTTGGCCCAATGGGAGATGGGTGTAAATACATGTGTGAAAGCCTGGGAAGTCTTTTGATGGTGTGAATAGAAACTGGAAATAAAAAGTAGTTAAGACTAAAGGTGTGAATGATTTTTAGGACCTTGTACATGGAAGTGTATTTAGTTCAAAAAGGAGGTATATATGTGGACTTTGTAGTTGGGCTATTTTAGACATGATTCTTGTGTACAGAGATTTTTGTCTCTTGCCCAACACAAGAGATGGAAAACTGTCAGACTTCTGACAAGACTTGCCTTAGGGACACTGGTGAGGCTCAGTGGGGAAAGGTGGCAGAGGTCCTTTGTGCTGCTGAGAGAGCTGCTTGTGAGACCTGCCTGGTAAGAACAGAGAGTGGGGAAGAGAATGGCCTTGTCCAGGCAAAAGCCAAACTGTCCAGAGAGAGATACACAGTGTTGTGGGAATGACGACTCAATCGTGGACTCAGTGCTAGCAAACACCTCTTATTTGGCTGTTCATTTCCATCTATAGGTTGGTATCCATGGGATCAGAATAGAGTTCATCAATGAGAAAGGTGTCAAACGCACAGCCACGTATTTACCTGAGGTTGCTAAGGAACAAGGTGGGTTTGAGATGGCAGCCAAACATGTCAACATGTTGTGTCACAGAACTGGGTAACTTAAATCTATGGATTTGGGGCTTGGATTGCAATGCTGTCATGCTGTTCTCATAGTAGTGCTGTGGAGCCACCAGGCTTAATCTGGATAACTGACACCTGCTACAGTTGGTGCTGGGTTTTCACCTGGCCTTTCTCTCCTTGCACAGCTGTATCTTAGCGTAAAAATATTTTAGGGCTTAAGAAACAGCAGATCTCAAAGTATGGATCTTCCAGCCTCATTCAGCATTGCCTCTTTCCTCTTCTATGTTTCTCCCACCAACTCGGATAACTGCAGGCTGCACAGCACCAACAGAAGGGTCCCTTTCCTCCTCATTCTTGCTAAAGTAGCATCCTCCAGAGGAGGGCTGGAAAAGGGCCCCTCTGGAGCACAGTTCCCACTCAAATAGAGTAGCAGTCACCATGGTAACTGCTCAAAATATTGCCTCCTTTCCTCCACTTAGCAGAGTGGAGTGGTTACACCCTCCTGGCTCTGGGGCAAAAGACTAAGGTAGTAATTTTAACTCTGATCTCTCACATAGCAGTGCACTGTGCTATCACTAGAGCATCAATCCCAGTCTGTCTCTGTCAAGAGCTAAGTATTCTCTTATTTTCAAGGCTTATGGAGCTAAACTGAAGTGGCACATGGTGAAACAGTTTCGGGTCCCCACAACAGAAGCAAGGCACAGACCTTTATAAGAAGAGAGGTCATATGGAAAATGGGATTACTGTTTCATAGACCAGCTCCAGTAGGAATTAAAAGGGGTTGGCATGTGCAGATAGTGTACATACATCAGGCCATGTATGTCCAGTTCAACACTGGGATTTCTAAAGCTCAGTTTCCTGTTTAGTCGTTTGCTTTTCTAGAGGCCTTTTAATGCATCTCTTATGTTTCTGAAACATCTTTTTTATACTGAAAAATTTCCCTTACTTCTATTTTTCAATAGACTGGGATCAGATCCAGACCATAGACTCCTTACTCAGGAAAGGTGGCTTTAAGGCTCCAATTACCAATGATTTTAGGAAAACAATTAAACTCACCAGGTAAGTTGATGTATTTGTCATCTTTTAATTTTGCTTTATAGCGTTTTGTGGATAATTTAAAGTATTTGTGCTTGATGTAAGTCTTCAGCCTCTGTCAGATGAGACATGTAATGTGAAAGACCAAACCAGAAATGCCACGTGTAATGGGATGAAGCACAATATGTTTGGTCCAGGCAGGATCAAAGTTGGCATTTTCTGAGAGAAGGGTCACTGGTTTTAATATTACCATCTATGTGAAAGATCAGAAGCAGAACCTTTGAAAGTTAAAAAGGTTGATTTTTCAGTATCTTTTCAATGAACTTCCTTTTCTCAGTGTGGTCATCTGTGGATGCTGGAGCTATTTGTAGCCGACAGCTGTCTTCAAACCACACTTGAATTTGGCTGGTTTTCAGAATTTGCTTGCTTTTCTATACCCCCAGCTGTCTTATTGGTTTCTGCTCCCTTTATGTTAGTAAAAATTGGGACATTCTGGTTTTGTATAGAAACATTAATTTATCAGGTCGTTTCTTACCTCTGGAGAAATGAGTTGGGTGTGCAGGGTTTTTTTTAACAGAAGAGGACAGGACGAAGGTTTTCATTAAAATCTGGTCTTAGTGCAACTCACAACCACTTTGTTTATCTGTTGTGTAGTGTGCTTTAGGAAAACCTGGAAAACTCTGATCTCTAAAGGAATTTCAAATTTTGTGAATTCTGATTTTACAACATAGACTGTCACTTATATGGTATAACTAACCTTTCTTTACACACCTCTCCATCATTTTTTTCACCAGCCTTTCAAATGTGAAGATAACCACAATAGTAAACAATAGTGAAATACTGATTATTTAGCCATTGTAACTGAGTCTTCTTCCAGCAAACTTCTCATGCCATTTTTGCCCCCTGCAAGTGGATAACAAGGAATACAAATTGATAATTTGTTTCATGTGTGCTACTTCAGGCATCCCTTAGTTAGGATCACCTTGACTAGGGCTCAGCTTTTGGGACACTGAAGCTAATTCAAGCTCAGATGGGTTATTGAGGCTGCTGCATGAGGCAGTACCAAAGGCAGTGCTCTCCTCTTGTCCGTCACTGGCTGTGAGCTGAGGGGTGAAGTGATGGCTGGGGTTTGTTCAGTCCCCCCGTGTGTGCTGACGTTATTTCTCTGCCGCTGTTCCCGCAGGTACCGCAGCGAGAAGGTGACAATCAGTTATGCAGAGTACATGGCCTCCCGCCAGCATTGTTTCCAGAATGGCACTCTTCATGCCCCCCCCCTCTACAATCATTACTCCTGACACACGGCTGCATGACCAGTCCCACTCCCCAGTTGCTGCCAACGGCTACGATATCATTGGGGCAGACGCCTCCTCTTCCTGGTCCAGTTACTTCTATTACTGCACCATTTTATGATGCTAGCTTCCGTTGCCAAGTCTGCCTTCCTGCTGACCTGGGGGGAGAACGAGAGCGTGACAGGACTTCAGGGGCCCAAGCCTTATCTCAGCCTTCCCTCTGAGTGGGGGTTCAGTTGGATTGGGGCTCCATGCCTACGAACTGTCGTGAGGTGCAGAAGACCTCTCGGAGTGAAAGTGCTGCTTCAGACTGATCCATTCCTGGGTGTTACTGACACTGTGGAAACTTGAGTTGCTTGTTATGGAAGCCCCCCAGATCAAGTAGGAGCATTCCCCTGGCAGCCTGGGCAACGGAGTCCAACAAAACATTTTTTAGGTTCTTTTTAATTTTTTTTAACTCCGGTATCTGTTGTGTACTGAGAGCTGATTGCAGTCCCCACGCATCACAGGTGGACATCATGATACTGGGGCGGGTCGAACACCTGGATGGCACCCCATCCTCACCAACAGAAAACACTTAGAGATGTGAAAAATGAATCCATTATTTAAATAAACCCTAGAAGGCTTTAAGGCTCGGATCCTTGGTAGGTCGAATTCTTTAGAAATTCTCTTGGTTTACAGTTTTCTGGGTTTTCAGACAGAGCTTGGTGATGAAGCCTGCTATGGAACAGCATGCTGTTGTGCCTGTCAGAGAGCAACATGGCACATGCTGTGTATGGAGAGGAAAAGGTACTTGTGTGTCCCTGGACAGTCTGTTAAGACCAAGTTTTGTTTCCAAATATTCGTAGCAGATTGGATTAGGGCTGGGGAGGGGTTTGCATGGCACTGACTGTGGTCATACAATGAGACTAGTGACTGAAATTTGTTTAATTTAAGCTAACTGTCTTGGGGACCTTCCTATTGCTAGGACAGCCACTTTCTCCAGTGTGACTACTGATTTTCAGGGCAGGAACTGTTCCAGTTCGTAGCAGGTCTATGGAATAGAGGTGTGGAGTTCCACTGCTAAGATCTATCAGCTTAGTTGTACCACAGCAAGGCAGTGAGTGGGGAACCTCCACTACCCAAACTGGGTGAAACTCGTGTGTATTCTGTATTTCTTCTCCCATGGTTGATGATCACAAGAAATACTCTCTTCTAAGAGGGAGTTAAGTTACCCATTGTTATTCTGCAGCATCGTTGAGGATGTCATGAACTCTAAATTATGACACTCTCTCAGTAAGGTAACTGGACTTCAGAATATAGTTTGGGGTGGTGTTGGTTGGTTTGTTTTCCAAGTTTCTGGAGGGTCTGTAATGGCTGGGAAAGCAGATACAAGTGCACAGGAGAGTCATGGCTGTTTGGTTGCACGTATCTTTAGAGCCTGCTTGCGTGGGGTCATTGGCTGGTGTTTGAAGCCTGAAATTCTGCCCTGGCACGGCAGGGAATAGGGCTGGTGGGAAGCTAAGAACTGCAGGCTGCTGCTCCTGGTCCTAAGGAGGCAACACACAACTGTGCAGTTTTGCTCTGTGTTGGTGTAACATCCTGCTGGAGAGGAGAGTTGTGAGGGAGGTTACTCTGGCTAACGGTGCAGCATCGACCCAGCTTTCGCCCTGTACTGGGTCATTCTTACAAATTGCCACTTTTCCCTTGTGGTGTTGTTGGAAAGCAATTGAAGATGAAGGGATTGTTCATAACTTCCTGCTGCTGAGAATAAATTGGTCTTGTTACAAACCACTCCAGTTTGTAATTACTCTGCCAGGTGCCATGTAGTGATGGGGGAGGGTGGGGTCAGCTCTGGACATACCACTTACCTTTCAGCTGTCAAACAGTATGATACATAGGGCTACACTCATTACTGTTCAAGTGTTCTATGTTAGAATTTAATTTCTAAAAGGTTTAAAAAAAGCAAAAAAATGGTGCTAAAACTTCACCCCTGAGCACGCTCGGTGAGACTGGTCATGCAGGCGTACAGTGCCAGGCTTTTCAACTATACTGTTTCTTTTTCAGATGTTTGCCCTGTTCTGTGTCTTCAACAGTGTATAGTGTTTTCCTGATTTCAGTTTCTTTGACTAGGGATGACTAAGGGGTGGGGTGGGGAGGGTTAGCTGTAATTTTTTTAAAGAACGGAATTTTAGGATTGAGTGACTCGGTTGGTTTAAGCCTAAAGTGGGACAGATGGTTTGGGACTGGGGAAGTCTTATCCTCTCCCACTTCTATTTCCCCACTCAGTCTGTTTGAAAAAACAAAAACAAAAACGCCTCTGAATATGTACTGTGTTCTTGTCTTGTTGCAGTGAGAAGAGAAGCTGGCAGGTCAGAAAACACTGGTCTGCTGCCTAAGGAACAGGCCCTCCCAGCTTTTGTCCCATAAGGGTCCAGCTATAAAATCAGTTGAAAACTGTGTCAGTAGCTAAGTTAGCTCAGAGAAATGTATGACAAGGACAGGTGGTCTCAGGAAATAATCCCATTTCTAGATCATTACACGGCAGCTATGCATAAGGATGAAAGAGGTGAACTAGAAACAAAATGTACTTTGAGTTGTCTCAAGATGAAGGCAACCAAAATCAGTGACCAACTGCTACGAGTGGCTGCTTGGCTGGGGACAGCAGGTTAGAACTGCTCCTCAAAGCAGCTGTTACCTGGTTAGATCTGGATTAACTCATCCTTAGAAGCAAGTGCCTTTTGGTCTAGAAGGGCTTATTCTCATGACAACCACAACTGAGAAATAATCTCACTGCAATGATGAAATGTCTTTGTTTTACAGTAACTACAGGAGAATGTCTTTGATCACTGGAGTCTGTCAGTGTTGGAATGTTTCCACTGTGAGGTTCTTAATTTTTTTTTTTGTATTGTTCAACAGTCAATCTCAACTGAGGCCATTTCAGTTTGGGAACGTTTTGTAGTCAAAATATCACATATCTACAATTTATCAGAACAAAAAAAAAATCTATAAGGAAATCTAAGAGTTCATTTTAACCTTTGCACAGAATAATTTGTTTTCATAGTACATTAACAAACCTCTGCAATCTTCACTGACCATTAGTGCTGTTTTTCTGTTTGTATTCTGGAAACTACATGTTGTTTTGTTGGGTTTTTTTGGTTAATTTATTTCCTTAAAGCAGAAGACCTCTTTTGACCTTCAGTGCAGAGATGTCAGACCAACTCTTTGTATTACACTTGGTTGCCTCCTACCTATATAATAACTTCTGAGTGTAAATAATTGAACTCTATCCTCTAATGAAGTATTGTAGAGAATAAATCATAATAGATAAAGATTATTTGTACTGTCCTCTTTATGTGGGTTCTCACAGCCTTTGTGGGGGATAAGATGAAATCATTCTCATCTAGAAAGACAAACAATACATTACAGGTCTGAATGTTCAAAACCAGGGAGGTTGCCAGAGTGGGATGGCAGCTGTCTGGAGGCACAGAAACAGTCAGACAGGCTCTCTAGAAGGAAGCAAGCTAAAATAGAAGGAAAATTAAAACCAACTACTAAATATGTTTCATTAATAACGGCACAGCAGTGTCTTTGTATCCTGAAATAATGTTTGCTTGACAGTAACTTTCTATCATGATGGTTTGCCATGACATGTATAAAGCACATATGTACAGAGTACTCTAAATATGTCTGAAACCATCAAAATTGGGTTTTGGGGTTTTGTCTTCTAAAAGGAGCTAATGAGAACAGATTGCCTATACTCTGAGGCTGTAGTCTTAAAATCTAGTTTTAATCTAAAAAAATTAGTCTAAAAAAATCTAAAAATTAGTCTTAATCTAAAAATATTATTTCAGAAGAAACACCTACATCTTTCTGGATTCTTACAATTTGAATGTTTGTTTTGGGACAGGATTAACTGATTTGTGGAATAGTTTTGAATTATGCCTCTGGTTTACCTGATTTTTTCCATACCCTGTCAGGTTATTGTTAACTTTTTATCTGTGGCAGATGTATAGTTGGAGATCCTACATTTTCTGCTTGTGGCTCTTGGGAAGGGCAGCCCTGGATGTCAATGAACAGTCATAAACCCCCAAAGTAAACACCAACCAAACCAAGGGGTTTGGTTTTGACCAAGTTTTGACTTAAATATGCCTGAGAAGCTCATTGACCTCAGCACAGCTACAAAGCAAAAATCTGTTTTCAGAAAATATGCTGCTGGTACTAGTCAGGCTAGGAAGTAAATCCCCCAGGCAATGTGAGGAGGGGCTGAGGAGGACTCTGGGGCTGATGTGATTTCCAGGGGATTTCCTTTTTATTTCTGAAGTTACCCATATCACTGCCACCATGTGTCCAGGGAAGTTATCAGGTATATTCCTGACAGCTTTGTTGTCAGGAATACACTGACTTTTTGTACATTTTTGTGTCATATGCTTTTCCTTACTTGATTTTTTTGGTTTCCTATTGAATCAGTCAGACATAAAATCTTTGTCTGGTGTCTTTCATTAGAGGTTCCTCCGTGCATGTTGCATTCTGTGACCACAGGAACACTCACTCAGCAGCTCCCAGGGAGGATGAGGCCAGGTAGGAGGGTGTACATATGACTGCACGCTGAAATAGGTCAATCCAGGCTAAATATAAACCAGGATAATTCTCCCGGAAACACTTTCTTCTGTTGTTACTCCTGTTTGAAATAAGAAACAAAATTAATTACTCATTTGGCACTCACTTCTTTCTAGAACAAAATTAAAGGCAGCTTAGGAGGAATATCTACAAGACACTTCAAATGAAGAATACTTGAGCATTTTTATTCTAAACACACCAAAAAAAAAGAATTTTAGTTTACCTGTGATTGAGAAATGCCACTTCTTAAAGACAAAAATGAAAACCAGAAAAAAAATGGAAACTTTCCCATGAGACCCAATAAGTCAATATTTATACTGACAGTACATAGAGCAGTACCATAGGAAAGTTCCTAAGCTGGTTTTCCCATGGTCTGGGAAAAGATGACTTGTGTGTCTGTTTGATATCACTCAGAAAGCTCAGAAAGCACAGAAGAGTGTTGTTACCATGTTCCTTAAAACAAGTACATACTTCTGCAAAATTAGCAATATCCAGATTATTGAACCATATTTTTTTTTCTTTTCTGTAGTCAGCTAGACTGCTCTTATAATCAGATTAATTCTGGCAGAAATCAGGAATGATAGAACCAGTTGATAGTATGTCTAGATGTCACACATGTATTTAAAAACTGAACAGATCATGCAGTTTTGCATTCAGAGGCTTACTGTGACTTTATTACTGGATAGTAATATAATTTTACTTTGCTCATACATGTTCATTCCTTATGGTTTTGGAGATATACTTTTAAATGGAGTAAAAATAAAGGCAAAATGGTGTGAAAACCTAAACCTGAAGAGTTATACTTTAAGAACACAGATGAAAATCACACATGTCTTGTGCAATCCTGGCTATTGTGGCACATGGTGTTCTCAGTGGGTGGTTGTCTCCACAAGGATCACACTGGCATTCCACAGAAAATGTGGAATTACTGTTTGAAAACTTAAAAAACTGCTAGGAAAATCACATTTCTTCTGCTGCTGGATTAGAAGGAAAGCATATTACAAAGTAGGTTTATGCTAATAATAGAATATCCTTGTTATTAGCTCTTCCTACATTTGATTAGATGGAGGTATTTAGCTGAGTATTTTGTTAGATCTGTGGAGCTGCAATTAGTGTTTACAGGCTCTGTGTTTAAACTGTAGCAACATAGAAATTACCATAATAGGTCTGTCTAACAATCTGCTACCTAATAACATGTCTCCAGCAAGGATCAATGCTTTTGGCCCTGGAATATGGAATATTAGAGGCTCTATTCATGATAAATTACATTTGGCCAAGTAGTCTTTTTTTTTTTTAATCAGCTTAATTTAGGATGTGACCACTAAAGCTGCTCAAAAGTTCCTATAGTCTTTATTTTAATCAAGCTCATCTTCCTTTTCTATGTGTATTTTGTTGACAAATGCTGAAACAGTCATTATTAGTGAGGAAAAAGCCAGAGCATTTTAAAAATAACAAAAAAGTCAGGTACTCTGCTGTGTTTGGTTTGTTGCAGCAGCTGAACAATACTTCCTGTGGAGTTTATAATTTCATTTTTTTTAAAATTCTTAAAAAACAAAACACATCAGTGATAATGGACTTAATCTTTTATGATAGCCTCTTAAACTGTATCTATAAACTCTTGCAAGAATCTGGCTCTCTTGATTTAGTTTTTGTATATTTGAGTAGGATGGATCCCTGGGGGAAAACCCAACAGGGAAATGAGTAACTTAAACCTCAGTGAGCTACCTACTGCTCTGAGAATCATGATGTTCTGAGTTGATGGGTTATTTGAGTCAGGATTCCAAATGATGTTAAATGCTTCTCTGGTCAATCTGGCATGGATTTCCTTGCTTTCTTGTAAACCTAATTGAAATTGTTTAATTTGCCAGATGTTCCCCGAGATATTTCCATTCCATTTCTTACTGGATGTCTTTCTGCTTGTACCACTTAGCAAATTACTTTCCATTCAGTTTCTCTGCTATGCTCATTATCCAGATAACAAATATTAGAAATCTATTATTTGACCTCTTCATATTCCTATAGTTTATTCTTAATGCATTCCTTTTCCCAGCGGTTCACCCAGGCACAGATGCAGTTCAGGAGAACAGGAGTGGTTTCATCATAAATCCTCCAACAGTCTATTTTTGCCTTTCTTTAGGGGCGCAGCATGACATAGTAAGGGCTGATAAGATGATTACTTTAAGAGTCTTAGACTGGTTAGGCACTTACATGTGAGGTCTCCAGGGAAAACACTACTCCATAAGTTATTTTGTTGGCAGT